CGATTGTGTTTTCGCCTGAGTTCGGACCCGAGACCGGTCGGTAATGCTAAACAGACAGACAGTGCCATAAAGAACCAGGATTTTTCTAGCACAACATGTTCCATTGGAAGGGAAACAAATGCACGGACAAGAGGCGGTCACTTGACGGATATCGATGGGTAGGTATATGCATATATCGCAGGTAATGATCAGCTTGTCTAATCCCCAAAAAAACCTCCGTGAAACAAGGATTGCCCACGTCGTTGTCGAGGAGAAGGAGGTGTGAGAGAGAGAGACAGAGTTTAGATCACTGGATGAAAGCTAATGCACCGCAGAATGGGGATAATTTGAAAATATGGGAATGGGATACATGCACAAGGAAGGCATAAATGAATAAAAAATTTAAAACGTAATTCGGTCATATTCAGACTCGGACGATTGTGTTGTGAGATTACACCGGACTAAGATGAGTGAGGAGTTCAAGTATAACCGGTAGATTTAAGCCATACGATTACAGTGAACAGGCATTCATTGTTCAATGCACTTACTTTAACCGTATCCATGAATTCCAACGATGTGGACAGTGTCAAAAGCCGAGCCTTCTGATCCATTAGTTCTTTCTCAGTTTCACTGGATGCGAGAAGCTATGGTGAGGTAATGGATTGAGTAAACAGAGTGAAAAGGCGGGCAAAGAGATCATGTGACATGCGACGGGTTGGAACATTTTTAGGCTCTCATGAGTAGAGCTATAAATCCACAAGTTCAGTGACGAGCTGAGAAACTATGTTTTGAGAAGGATACAGGTGGACAGTACATCGGAGTGCATAGAACGAAAGATGTACTACTAAACGGGCAGGTCACGAATTCAATGATCTGTTTATTTCTTCTGCCTCACTTGTCCGGGATTTTAGGTTTATTTTTGAGTATCATGAGAATCTGTCAGTCACTTCCTCATGCTCCCACCAAAAGCGTGCTACTCATGTTTAATGTGAGTAGTACATCACTACAGAAGTATGTGTATATGTTCAGAACAAGCGATCATATTATAATCAACGCTTTTGATTCAAATAATGGCAGAATTCAAGCAATTATATGAGTCAGATTTATGATGTGGATGATGCAACTAATCGTCTTGTTTATCGTTCTCCACAGGAACCAACTCTTTTCGTTTTTCTCAATACTTTTAATCAAATCTGGTTTGGTTTCTGCTTCCGTCAATGATGGAAAAACGTTTCGGACAGTGCAAAAAAGAAATCATGGAAGAATGATTTAATCCCAATTTGCTTTCTTGGAGTAGATTTGTTCATGAGTTCAACCAGAAAAATCGCATGCTATGTCCCATAATTCGCAAGGATCGTAGTCAATGCACGTGTGAGTGAGATAACCATTAAGGTAGTAAGCGAGCAACCGGATGATCATTACAGTTCATTGAACATTTTATTAATGCATTTCACTGATTAGGTCCTGAAGAACCGATTAACCGGTTCATACTTGCTGAGATATTTCGGAACTCACCCCGCCCTGTAGTGGGGGATGGCGGCCCACTGATGTTCATTTCAAAAACAATTAGGCATAATCAGAATGTTTCATCATAGGCAACTATTTATTTTTTTAGCTAGAATGGTAACTAAAGTTGCTCGAATTGCAAATTACTAAACGAGGAGATTCGAACGACATGCGCCATGGTAGCTTTTCACTAATTCTCAGCTCGACAAAGTGGATAGGCCACATAATACAACCTATTTATCTTGTACACTTTCGCATTGTTTTGGATCTGGGTACGTCTAAGGACTTAAGTGATCCTGATGAGACCAGTCAAATCAGAAATAGTTTGTCAGGTTACGGAAAAAGTGCACTATGCATTCTCATGTGAGGTTCGTCTGTCGCTAAGGAACAGGCCGCATCAAGCCAAAACGTTTCAACAACAACAACAACAATTATTATTATTATAAACTCAGATTGGAAAATAATCTGGATATTATTTGTATAAGTATGTCAGCTGATTCGCTAGCCTAATTGCTCGCAACGCACAGTAATATAGCAATAAATAAATATGTATGTATGCGATCGGATTTTATGGCTATGATGATATATTTGGTTGGGGATCATTTCGGACCAGTCTGTGGGTCCCCCCCTCGCAATCATCCAGGTTAATGTTGTTCACTGCTGGTAGATTTTTATTATCTGATAAATTGATAAAGTTTTATGCAGATCGGTTCAACATCATGTCGTTATTGTTCGTCTGGGGGTGGGGTGGGGGATGGAATGCGGGGACAGGGACTTATTTCATGTGCATCCTCCTAACGGGAGTTTTGTGTGTGTGGGGGGGGGGGGGGNTAAACAGAAAAAACACATCTCCCCAGTGGATTTGGTGGTGGTTGGAGTGAACCACACCGATCTGCACAGCGGTAACTTCCGCGCTTTTTCGTGATGAATAAAACACACTGATAAAATCGTTCCATATTCTGTACTGTATTGTAGATGAACTGGATAAAAGGGAACAAAATCCGGGTCTTACTCCGAGTCTTTCTTCCCCGGGGCTTTTGGCAATAATTACCAAAAGCACAACGTATTTTGAAGACCGTTTAACTTTCATCCATCATCATCAGTCAAGCATAGACTGTGGAGAAGCTAAAGACTTAACTCCTCAAGGTGTGTACACCTTAGTTGTACACCAAGCCGGCTCCATACTGCTATGTAGACATTTTAGCTGCGGTTCATTTGCACTTTGAGTCAGAGTTTTCGAGGAAGAGAGATGGGAGGAACTCAAACGTCTCAATCCGCTAAAGTGAGAGCAGACCGATTTAACTGTGAAAAAAAGGCAGCGCGTTCTACTCAAATCGGATCGATTCCCAGTGGGAACCAGTGGTTTCAGGAAGGATCCCCTAACCGAGGAGGAATCGGCAAATAATGTGTAAGTGGTATAGACGGTGAACACTAGCTATCGTCACCATAGCGTGTTGATCATTCACGTATAACTCTCTCTCTCTCTCAAGGGTCGATCCACTCAGCACCCTATTATCGAGCTTATTCGTCATTGTTACACTTGCGCACATACACTTTAAATATAATGTCGAAGTTAATCACCCATTGGATTGAGTAACAGTCGCGTCTTCCCTGTGTCCACTTCCCGCAGATGTCTTCAATGGCAAAGCTGGAGAATAACACCCACAAACGAACAATCGATCACGATATGTCAATAACATTTTGTGTTTCGTCGTACGCAGTGTGAATATATGTCAAGACTGCTAAAAAGTATTTAACTCACTACATTCGTTGGTTAAAGAAGGTAGATTGTAGATAATTCCGTTGATTCATTTGTCATTATGCGTGAAGTCAGTGCGTTGAAAGGGCAACCGTAGAATTCTGAGTCTGAATATGCACAAGCATCGCTTGCGAACAGTCGTGTAGACATCATGATTGTGAGGGAAGCTGGTGTGAAAGAGTGAGCACCTGGGGTTACTTTTCTATATTCATATTCTATATTCATTTCTATATTCATCCTTTCTGAAGTAAGCGGGGAGGCGAGGAAGGGGCTTGAAGACACCAGCATTTTCGTGGTCATTTCCTGACTTCTATTTGAACTCTTCTAATCTGAGCCGATTTTTTTCGCCCAAAGGCCAATCTTGAATCGGTTAGAGTAGGAATCTTAGAAGTAATCACGGCGATTGAATGCGATCGAGTGTATGTGCGCGTGCGTGTTCTAACGTATCGTAACCGCGTAGACGAAAATGATAATGATGGTCACATCCATGCTGAAGTCATAATCGGGTTTGATTGATCCTCGGGAAAAGGAGGAACAGGTCATACTGACGCAAGCTAGTGGTAGTCGGATGGCCGGGTAGCCACACAGACTGGTTAACACACAATTTGGATCCGGATTGATCAACATTACCGCCTCTGTTATCAGTCGGGATGACTGATTCCGTTTTATGGGTTGACTGGATTACGTTGCCCTCATTGTTGGCACGTGGAGTTACCTCGGGATTATGTCAAAGACATTTCGTTTCTCTCGCGAAAAATGTGTATGTCTTCCGGGTCTATCTTTATTTAATGGTTCGGTCGGTTGCGCATGAGCTGCACTCTGGTGAAGGGATGGCTATCTTTTGGATACATACATTGTTGTTGTTTTCATAATCCGTCCATTGAGGGCGGATCCGACGACTGTCTTTGTGAAGGCATTTTGACAGTATGGTGTTGATCACTCAATGAGAGCCACATCAACTCGGTGATTTCTAGGGGGTTACTTAGGGGACTACCGGTGATCTGTTTGTGGAGCCTCACTTGTTTCTTTTTTGCGCAATTACTTCAATGGATCGATAAAAGAGGAAGAGAGAGGAAGACAAGGAATAGCTAATAGCTTCATTGTTTTACGTACTTCTGTGAATGTGCGAATATGGATTGCCAAAAAGAGACATTCAGTCTCTGGTTGAACGAATCTGTCGTTGGCGAAGAAATAACGCCGGTTAGTAAGGAATGCCAAATACTACCCATTCTGAGGGCAAAAGAATGACGCCGAAATATCAAATAGTCAATTTTTGGAACACCAAGTTGAATGAATACTCCCTGACGTAATTTGAGCGATAAGGTGAACAGAGAACGACATGAGTGGTCAGGGTTTTCTACACTAAACGCAGAGTCTCGTAAAAATTGGTGAAGTACAATCCCAATGATTACAATCTTTCCACACAGGTCTTGGAATAGAGCCCGTTGGCTATCTTCATGACTATTGTTTTTGAACGTTGTGAAACCTTGAATCCATAGAGTCTGATTTTGAACTGGGGTACAGAAAAACATTTTTAAAGTGATAGTAAACGTTACTAGGCTACTGTGCTGGGGAATAATTCCGGTGACCGGTGTAAACGATAATTGATCATATCTACTAGTACAATTACTACTTCTACTATTAATGTAATTCCAGAAGACCGGTGCTATCTTGATGAGAATTGTTTATTACGTAACAGAGTTAGGGTATGGATAATTTGGCCTTTAAAAAAATGACAAGATATCTCATTTGGAACATATCCTCACAATTCCCGGCACTACACAGGATAAAGAATGGAACAGGCCGTAGTTATCAGTTCGAACAAAGCAATTCGCTTTAAGAAGTCTTTGTTCATTGTTGACCGTTGAAAGTAATCGCCAAACGCATAATTTTGAATACTACTCATAAATGTGAGCAACACCTCTCCACACTAATACTACTACTACCCAAATAGCACCACGGTGTGCTAAATTGATCGTTCCATCACTTGATCAATGCAATTGGACCGAATGAGGCCAGTAGCTCGAAGCACGTGCATCATGTTGAGAAAACATATCCGAATTCCTGGTTTTGAGCATTTCCTGATCTCGGTGTGTGTGTGTGTGTGTGGCGAAATAGGACATGACAAATCACTTACCCGACTCAACTCGCACAGAGCCAGCTGAACATTTTCCCGTTCCCGATCGGTGGGAATTCGGTATGGTCGAACACCTTTGCCCGCATCTGCCTCGGCCGCATCACGAAGCACCGCGTCTTGCAAGCGTCGAATCACTTCAACCAACAGTTTGAGACGTGTGAGTCTTTGCATGGGTAAGGCAAGAAACGAGCTGAGCGAATTTTTTCCACTAATTGGATTTGCATGTAGTGTCTCCAAAGCCGAACGAAACGATTCACGTTGACTGGACCGAAAACAAGTGGATTTGGGTTGGCGGGTATCCCAGTGCATGGGTCGGGGACAGAGGGAATGCGGTTTACGCGGTGTACGCGGTGAGGCGGTGAATACACGTGATGTAACGAATGAATTAGATGTACATGAGTTCGATAGTGAAACGCGTACGGGGAGGCGGGGGGGGTGAGGGGAGGAGTTGGTTGACCTAAGCGGGGTGGACAATTTTTGTTCATATACCTGAGTAACTACTCAGATCAATTGTTCTATTAACAATTTGAGAGAATATGTGCACATACATTTATGTACATTGGTAACTTCACTATCTCAAACTATCGATTGTCTATAGGGTTCCCGTCGACATCTCAGGTTTACTATTACAGTTATAATAAGGACTGAAAAATGGCAATAGTCTACTTGTGACTTGATGAATAGGTTGACAACAGAGTGGTGATTGAACTGAGTTTTTGAAGTGGACCGTTTTTGAAGATGGCGTTTTACAGGGGTCTCGGATATCTGACACGTTCCGGTTTTAATAGATAAACAAATCATAGTTTGCATTTTAGAACTCTGGTGTAGCCTGCACTCATCTGTCCATAGTGTTCCAAATTCTACCCATACACAGATTTGTGTTGCTACGGTAATATTTGGTGAGACTTTGTTTTGTTGCTCTTCCCGGTTTCTTCATGTTCCTATTCAACTACATTGTGCAACAAATTCCGCCAAACATAGAAAACGGGTACTGGCTCACTCTCCTCGGTCCGTTTTACAAAGTCCATGGTGGATAACAAGATTTAGGGTCTGTTCTTTCAACTCTGCCCGGTTCGGCGGTTTCCCCACCTCGCGAAGATATTTTTGCACAAGTACAGTCAAATGTCTTTATTGATCTGGATTCGTTTGGTCTCTGTTCTCGAGAACCGTGAAACAATCTATTCGACCTCTGTCTCGTCACTTTGTTGGAAATTTTCGATTTTTTTTAAACAACGCATTGTTTGCATCATCGGTCGTTTTCAACCAGTTCATTTTCTTCTTTCTATTCTTCAATGGGATACATTTAACTTTTAGTTTCCCTCCCTTAGGCAAAACAACAATAGACAGGGATCTGTGTCGGAATTGCTGTTTCAAATGAAAAAGTTTATTCCTATTTAGAGAACCTCGCTAAATCGGACCGAATAGTATTACTACACATCAACAATACGGAGTGATAGCTAGGCGGTATCACGAAACACGTGCGCGTCCGTTCCCCTGTCTCCTTACTGGCCTTTTCAATCTGTACAGTCCACCGAAGGTGGCTTTGCAGAATGACATGTGTGGTTCACACTGGAAGTTAACCGAACGATCACTGGTCAAGGAAAGATCACGGATACGGATACAAGGGACGGGGGGGGGGTGAACGTTTGAAAAGACATGACATTCATGACAGATTAGTTGATCAGACTTGTTTTCGGGTTCTTACATGTGCCAATTGAGCCAAAAGAAAGTTTGCTGCCACTGCCGGTCAGATTGACAGAAACGTGGTTCAGTAACACATTCGTTAGATATTTATAGGGCTATTGTTAGTTCAGTGATGCAAACGTCATACTTTTGCATTAATCGATACAGTATCGGCCTCCGGCTGCCCACAGGGGTACTGTTTTGCTGGGGCGCCTGAAATATTATCCAGTTAAAATCAACCCGGGCAGATGTGCAGCCTCGAACTGGTTGACATAGTCTTTCTCTCTCTGAACCGATGGGCTTCAGCATAATCGCTTAAGGATCACATACTGCTCGCAATAAGCGTTCCGAGTTACACAGGAGAGTATATATACAGGTGCACACATTCGATTCGTGCGAAACGTCGGCCTGAGTGTCTATGAATGACTCACCAGGAAGTGTGTGCATTTTATTTCGCTTATTTTTTGGACCAAATGAACGGAAAGCTACTCAAACTTCTCCGTATGTCTAGTCCGTGATGACTTAACCGATTACCTACACACACACAACAGAAGTCCGACGGTCGTACATATACCATTGTGCGGGTGTGAACGGGATATGCTATGCTCTAAAAGAGTGTGTTCCTCAATACAGAGGCAAAATGAGTAAACAAACTGATATCAGGTACCCGAAGGAATAACACGGTGCAAACCGCACGTGGCTTGATTTGCTCACCATAGATTACGTAATGTGGCTAACTGGTAGGCCTGGTTCCGCAGATATGTGATGTACGGTTCAAAATTAGCCCCACCAGCATGTTTCACAATCAGGTCGCAGACTTCGTTGACAATCGGGGTTTGTGCGGCCCATCGTGCCTCTAAATCACGAAGAAATCTGGACAGAAGAATGGTGGATAGATGAAAAATTAATTAATTAATGAAATGCGAAAAGAAACAAATTTACCTCAATCCGAATTCAACAAAAACTCAACAATTAAAGTAAGAAAACAGATTTAAGTTTGAAGAAGAACAGTAGATTTTCTCGTCTTGTCGATATCTTTTAGTTATTTTATGAACTGTATCAAATAGTACCCTGATTGTGATGATATTGAAAATTTATTTAGATATTATGTGGGCTTGTCAAGCTAAAATCACCAACATACTCAATTAGACATTGTGATGAGAGAGTAAAACACGGGTAACCAATGCGAATTGAACAGAACTGACCATCCTCAGCCCTTCCAGTGTGTACGACGGACTGACCGGCATTAGCTGAGGGATGTGCGTGAAGATGAAATCTGAAGGATGGTCAATTCTATAGTCAATCAATATCGAATTATTCCACAACACTACTCACAAGTAACTGAGAATGGTAATCGATGTGTCTCGGTGATGATAGCTACGAGTTTTGTTGCGTCTTTGCTGATATTCCCCCTAGTTTATAGTCGAAATTTGGAACCCTGACACCACTTTTCGTTTGTTCGTTGATGGTGTGCATCTTTCCAGTCATTCAGGATAGCATACTGGCCATGCTGCACATGTCACTTCAAGTGCCACTGTTCCCATCAGCGGTTTCCATAAATGGACGGCAAAGTTGATAACTATGGGGTTCACTACTTTTATAATGCATAGCACTGTATTTGTAATAAAATGTAAGTCATGATGTTGAAATTTCTGACGTAATAAAGTCGTGTATATGAAGTACTAGAGAGAGATAACAACTGAAATCGATGAACCATTGCGCTTCCTTTGAGCACACGTCCAATTCTTGATCTTCATCCGACATTTTGCGGCATTCCGTAGCTCCAAGAAGCTGCTCCTTTTCTAAACGTTCGTTTGTAAATTTTTTTTGGATAAGCTAACTAAACCACTTAGAGATTCGTCAGCGAGAAATTACTTTGCTACACTATAATTTGCATTTGTTCCTGTAAAGATTCGATGGATATCCCTGATTAAATAGGCAGAATGGTGCTGCGCATACCGTTCTGTATCACATCTCCGGGATTCCTCCACGGATGTATGCTGAACAGCATCTACAACTGAGCTGGTGCCAAATGCAGAAAGGTTCCGGGGATTGGAACTTCTCTTGCGGTCGATCCAGGAAACTGTGGACTAATCGTTTCAAACAGGTGGTTGTGATAAATTAAGATAAGACCACTATAATCTTCTTCATACGTGTCTGCGCGTGTGTTTCATTTCCCATTTATCACACGTGATACGGATTTTGCTGATGACCGGTTAACGCTCATGTCATTCATACCAAAGCTAAGCTGATTGATATCTTTTCCCACTCGCTCCCCTAGATAACCGGTAACCTACGACCTGAGACTTCAAGTGGCACAGCCCGCATACCCCGTCCCTCCTATGGAAATAGGCGAGCAACTCAGTCGGTCACGATGAAGCTGCATTTGGCCGGCGGTGATCGACATTATTTAACGCGAAATGACTAAACCAGTGTGATTCAAAATATCATCACCGTTCCACGTATGGCACATATCGCGTCTGGAACAATTTTCCGCTCCTGGTGAAACACAGTGACAGTTGTTTTGGTTCCACTATTTACCGATTCCATAGGTCACCAAACTTTCTGTGGTCAGAAAGAGTATCATTTTGATAATTGTGTTTTTGTGTGTCTTCATGTGCACCGCTCCCTGGGTGGCAGCGCCCCCTTTATACTACAGTGCATTGAGATCGTAACCAACTTGTCCGCACCTTGATTCATGGGAAATTAATCTTGCAATGGTGCTCTTTTGCGACAACTAGACAGACTTATTGACCACAGCATCTTATCATGCCGAGTTCTTGTTCACAGGTACCCAGGTTTTCAGTTTCGTTGACTTGCAAAATCCGAATCACGACCACGCATAACTCAGCAAATAATCAAACTGTCGGAAATCAATCCATTCTGCTTATTTGTGCCAACTAAATGGAACCACATGGTGGATATATTTTTAATCCCGGTTTTAAGCTTTGTCCAACGCACACGGGGGACTTTTGTTAGTGCATTTTGAGCCACAACTTTCTTACCAGCAGCCTGTCTGTCTGTCTGTCTGTCTGTCTGTCTGTCTGTCTGTCTGTCTGTCTGTATGTATGTATGTATGTATGTATGTATGTATATATGTATGTATGTATTTATATACGTATAAGAATGCATGCATGTATGACTGTTTGAATGCCATTCAGTTGGGGCTATACGGTTGACGCAAATGCGGACAACCTTC